GTACATCTAATCAATATAGAACCAATCTTTGGACAAGACAGGGTTGCATTCTGAACTCACTCTTTTTTATTCTGATTCATGATTCAATTATAACTAAAGCAAAGACCCAAGATAGGTATTCATTTGGGATTTAAATGCTCCCATCAAACTACATAAATCTTAATGACATTTACTAAGAATACAGTTATTCTAGCATACAATGATAAGAATTTGATTCATAATACAAGGATACTCCAAGCAGAATTTGAAAAATCAAACTTCATAAAACTAATCAGTAGTCTACATCATTAAAATTTAAGACACACTCACCCACTAACCTGGTTAAAAACTTTAAATATCCAGGAGCCCACTAAGATAAGAAAGGAATCAAAAAGTAAGATCAAAAAGAGAGAGAACTTGGCTGGAGAGATATTCAATGGTGTTGATAGAAACTTTATTTAGTGTATCATCTAACTTTATTAACCTACGACTCTGAATTCTAAAAGCATAGAAGTAGGAAACAAGGTTTGGAAATACGATTCTTCAGAAAAATCCAAACAAGCCAAATCCATGGTTACAAATATTCAATCAAACCTGCGTCAAACCAGCAGAAAAGGCGATAGAAGAAAACTTTCTAAGGTGGTTTAAACACTATTTAAAAATGAAAACAATAGTTTCACAATGATTGCAGATGAGGCCAACATTGATATAAATTCCAGAGTGATATCCAAATATATCTGGAAGAATGAAGAAACACCATACAATACAAATACAGATTTGGAATGGAACATTAGAAAAGAACAGGTTATGGAATAAGGAGCTTAGTCCAGACTCCATAGAAAAATATATCATAATTCGTGAACGGTAAAAGAGATACTAAGATGATTCCAATGATTGAATACAAATATCTTACTTCAAATATTTATGATGAAACGCAAATGTTTATTTTAAATAATTATCACCAAATTGATTCTTTTTAAATGACTATTCAGTCATCAAATTCAGGCAAACAGGGCATTGTCAGAGATGCATGGTTACTATTATTAACGCCCTTACTCCAATGAGTTTACCAAAGGTTTTAATCGATAAGTGACATTACAGTAGTTAAAATTTGATTTATTTAGCTACTACTAGAACATTTCATAAATGGTATAATAAAAAAATGGCATGAAAATAAAGCTTGAAAGTAAGTTTAAAGTTGGTTAAATGAAAAGTTTATTTGAAATAATAAATTATGCTGATAAGCAAAGAACTTGTATTAATATATCCCAGTAAACTTCCAAAAAATATATAAAATTAAATTATACCATTTATTTATTCACTTTATAATAAATTATTTTAAAATTATCTACTTTTTATTTTGTTAAATTTTATTTTAAAAAAATAATCAATTAATAAATTATTTAACATTTACAGTTAAAACCTTCGCAAAATTTCAATTTCAACAACACAAAGGGAGCTCAAGTGATACTTATTGTTCTGAAGAAGTTAACTATGAATGCCCAAGGATATTATCTCATTTCTGTTACAATGAAGTTATTTTTCAAAGGAAATCAATATTTCAAAATCTCCAAAAAAAATTAAGTTTAAAATAGAATTGTTACAAACAGAAATTAAGATATGTATGTTCATAGTGTTTGTCATGTTAGTTAATTATAAGTTTTAAAAGAATATATTTATTGTTTTTTAGAATAAATTTCTATCTAAAATTATCTATACCTTTTATTTATAAACTTCTACCACTTTTCCACTCGCATTATCATGTACTCATTTTTAAAATAAACAATGGTCTCAGATGTTCCAAGATTTATTTAAATGTTAAAAAAAAAAGAATAATTAGTCGAATATTGTAAATAAAACTAGAAATTACATGATGATTTTCTTCTACCATATATCAGTTTTGGGGATCCTGATCCATTTAGCTTACTCCTCCACCGAATGTGCCTATTCCACTCCAATCGAAATCCTCCCTGACTGAACCTTCCCTGGTCTTTCTGGGCCTTCTTCCTTCCACTGTTACTACATACATAGTTTTGACCTTTCTTCCCTCCTGCATTCTTTTGACATGGACAAACCAGGGTAAACTGTTTTCCTCTATTGTATTTTCTGCTGGTTTTATTCCCAAATTGTTTCTTATCACTGTATTCCTGACTTTTTCCCTCCTAGTTTTTCCATCTATTCTCCTCAGAAACCTCATTTTCATTGTTTTAATTTGGCTGTTTTTGAGGTTGTAGTTCAAGATTCACTGCCGTAGGTCAGTATGGGGACAAATGTAATTTTATACACGGTTTTCTTAACATTTTTTGATACTTCTCTCTTTGCTAACCCTGTTTTTAGTGAATGGAAGCATTTGCTGGCCAGTCATATTCTTTCTCTAATTTCGCTATTCTCATTTAGATGGGCTCCCAGATACTTAAAGTCTTTGACTTGCTCGAGTTTCTCCCCCTTCAATTGAAGTACTAGGTCCCCTCCCCATCCTCATTATTTTTATTTTGTTGCTGTTTATTTCCATTTTAAACAGTTCTAGTTCTTCATGCAGGACTCGGATGTTGTATTGGAGGTTTCCTCCATTCATCCCGAATACCACAACATTGTCGGCACATGCCAGAAAGGGTGAGATGAACTGGTGTTCGCTCTCTGTGGCCTAACCTGAAAGGTCTTATTCTTTCCTTAGCTCTCTTCAGTCCAATGTTGAGCACTATTATAAACAATAAAGGGCTTAGACTACAGTCCTGCCTTATTCCTTGGGTGCTCTGAAACTCCCTACAGGTGTGGTTATTGGTTCTGACCACGCTTATTTTCTTTTTATATAGGCTAAGAATGGCCCTCGTTGGGCCTGCATCGACTTCATGCTCATTCAGTGCTTTGTTTATGTCCATTTTTCTGACCTTATTGAATGCTTGGGTTAGGTCCACAAAGCAGGTATATTTATTCTTTTAAACGAGCTTTTCTGAGAGCTGCCTCGATGATGATTTTCAGAATTTAAAATTCAGCGATGTGCAGCAAGGCAGTGTCCTTAAAAATAAAAAAGTAATATATTTAAAGTATTTTTGGAACTAATCACCTTCTATACCATTTAATCATAGGCAGTTATGTAAAAATATTTTTAGGACAAGAAATCGTTAAGCAAAGGCAAATACATTATGTTTGCTGGTTTTGGAAAGTTTCAAATAACAAATGAAAGATATAAATATTTTTATTTATATCTTCGAAACATTGAAACCACAAATTAAGATGGTTTGAACATACACATATGCCATTGAATCATAAGCCTTTAATGACTTTAAATTGAAACATGTGGTTTTTATATACTGACATTACATACAGCATATCTATATTAAAACAATCATCTTATTTATTATTTTTTGGGGGGAGAGGCGAGGAAGGAAGGTGAGAAAATAAAAATTTAACGAATTAATATGAATAATATATTTATCAAATTAACTTGATACATACAAATAAGTAAAAATACAATTTACATTAATTACATATTTTACAAAAAAATATTTTTCATTAAAAAAAATTAAATAAAAGAAATCATGAGATCATCATAATCATACTATTCAATCTTGAAAAAAACTAAGATTGAATTGGAAAAAGTTTTCAAGTAATTTTGGTTCCAAAATTACTACTATACTCATTAAAATACATTTAAGGATTTTGAAACATACAACACACTGAGTGAAAATGAGAGTATTGATTGATATAATGATTTTATGAAGTATTTTGAAAATAAAAAAATGAATTAAAAGAAAAATATGTTTTCCAGTATATTTTTTTAGCATCTGGTTATGTTCTGTTTGTCAGCTGAGGACTCTACAGGGTGTCTCGTAAATAGAGGGGAATATTTAAAAGGTCGACAGTTGAGTTCAAGATCTACAAAAAAAGTTCATATAAACAATTGCTCAATTTCCAGCAGAAATGTAGGAAATTCAAGATTTGTGTTTTTTTAAGCCAGTTACATGTTTGATGAAAAATACGAGAACGTAAAATATATTTAATTTATGTAATTAAACATTACTTCATATTAAATTAGACAAAATTTACTTTGAACGGAAGTAGGGTTTGTCATTGTTAAAACTATTTAAAGAAGACAATTGGGTGGACAAACACAGCCAAGTTCAATTAAAAAAACTTTAATAAATTATTTGTGTTTTTTTTTTTTAATCGTTGTTTAACTGTACTAAATTTACCCCACTTTTAGAAAGACTTTCTTGTTTAATAAGCTTTAAGTCCATATTAAATAGGTTTGAGATTTATCAGGAAAAATGTTGAAATTCACCCCAAGTTGTATAAAGAAATGATGTGATTTCCTATGCAGTCACCTTAAAGTACCCATGTTTTCTACAAAAATGACTACAATTAACTATTGCAAAGCTTTTATTTCTTGTTTTTCAATGACATAAGATGTCTTGTAATAAACATAATTACCTAAAACACATTTTATTTATAAATATAAAAAATTTGAAAATCACGATTTTAAAATATTTTTTACGTAAAGAGGTTATGAAATTGTGTTTTTCTTCCAGATCTCCGTCATAGGAATTGATGTGTATTTATTAGTGAGAAACTCAAAGTTTCTTACTAAAATTAACTTTTAAAATAAAGAAACCTACTGATTGTTTCAATTATTTTCATGAAAACATAAATATTAGTGCTAGCTAGAAACATTAAGTTTACCACTTATAAATACACATCAATTCCTAAAACAGCAATCTGGGAGAAAAACACAAATTCATAATCACCTTCCATAAAAATTAATTATTTTTAATTTTTTTATTTTCATGAATAAAATGTGTTTTTAGGCAACTGTGTTTATTATATTACGTTCCATATCACAGAAATATAAGAAAGAAAAGTATAATAACAGTTAATGCAGTCATTTTTGCAGAAGGCACGGGTATTTTAAGGTGACTGGATAGGAAATCATATCATTTCTTTACAACACTTACTATTTGCTATTACAATTACTATTACTTACAATTTGAGGTAAATCTCAATAATTAATCTCAACTTAAAGCTTATTAAACAAAGAAGTTTTTGTAAAAGTGGGGTAAATGTAAAACAGTTAAAGGGTGACAAAAAAAAATTACAAATAATTTATGACTTTTTTAAAATGGAACTTAGCTTTGACTGTCCAATAATCCTCTTTAAATAGTTTTAACAATGACAATCTCTACTTCCTTTTAAAGTAAATTTTGTCTAGTATACTATGGAGTATTGATTAGTTACTTAAATCAAATATTTTATATGTTATCGCTTCCTATTCAATAAAAAACCTGACTTGCTTAAAAGATCACAAATCTTAAATTTTCTACTTTTCTACAGGAAATTGGGCAATTGTTTATATAAAATTTTTTATTAGAGCTTTATGGCTACTATCAACATTTTAAATATTTCCCTCTACTTACGGGACATCCTGTATAATCACTCAACAGTTCTCGATTGACAAGCAGGAAAGAAGGCAACAAGGTAGCTTTCATATCAGAGTTAACCTGATGAAGATCTGGAAAATGAAACTGGTTGCTAAACAAATGTTTAAAAAATATTCTGGGAGAAATATTTCCATTTTTCTAATCTAGGTTCATGTAACATCAAAAGCCATAATTTAAGAAAACTTTGGCAAAAACTTGGTTTATTTTTTGGATATTCCTAATTTATATTAAACATTTTAATAGATCAAGATCTACAACATTGTAGAAGAACACTGCTGCGAAGTTGATGGGCCAGCAACATCAGCATCAGTTTTTTGATTCACTGTACTAGCAGTTGTAATAACAGGAGTGGACGATGACTCATTAAATAAACCCTTCGGAATTACTAATGTCTAAAAAAAAATATATATATATATATAATAATAATACATAAATAAATAAAAATAATTAGATATGAGAACTACCAGATATAGATTTCAATCTCCAAACATAAAACAGTAACCAATTGATAATTACAGATAATTAATAAACTTATTTTCCATGTAATTTTTAATCTGATCTTATAATAATTCAAATTTTGTCTGACCATAATTTGGTAGATCATTTATTGAAATATACTACTAACTTTATTATTTTTATTCAAACCCCATACTGCATCTATCTGAATGTCTTATTTAATGTAAGTTATGGGGAACCATTGAGTATTTAATCAGTATACTAGTTGATACCATCTCAGCCTGTCATTCAGAAAGTTCATTTACAAACCATACAATTGGTGTTAGTCATGGTAATTTAAGTACTAATTAATGTGACATTATTAATATTTTGTGGAAGACAACAGAAAATTAAGGTTAAGGAAAACCACTACTTTATAGAAATATGCTTTGAATAATTACATTTGTAATGAGGGATTGAAATTAGGGATCGAACAATACCAATATTAATAATGGTCTATTGGTCAATTATCCGTATCAGCCTATATCATACAGCTGATATACTGATATATATATTTCTCTTGATGGAATAAAAAACTACAAAATGTTTTGGCAATAAAATGTAAGTAATATTTTGCTTCCTAAAGCAACAGGTCAGTTAATTTTGAGAGTATTGATTATTCATTAGAGTGAGTCAATTGAGATTCACATTCAATAATAGTTTCACAGAAGTAATAAAATGATACATTAAAAATAAAATATAACAGCAATATTTATAATAACTGATATATCGATTCCTAAATGGTTGATTGACAAGTTTATTCAGCAATAAGTAGAATATTTCAAGTAAAACTTTACTAAGCTCAATAAAATAAAGGCAAAAGGCCGATATATAGGCCATTGGAATATCTGTATCAGCTAAAATTTATAGATAGATCGATATATTGGTCTTGGGAATAATTCTATTGGTTACAATATCTTTATAGTTTGATTCCTAGATGATTGACAGATAAGTATAATAAACCGCAAACCATTACTTTATAAACTTCTGGAGGTCTGAATATTACTACAAAATTTAAGAAAGCTTTAAAACATTTATATTACAACACTAAATCAGCTGTATGGACTCAAAATGTAATATGTGATTCATTCTCAATTGAACATGGTTTGAGATAGAGTTATATATTAAGCTCAAACTTGAGTGTTAACAAAATATAAATTTTTAGGATTCAGGTATGGAACACAGGTTTGGGGTTTCAACAATTTTAACTACTATGAGATTGAGCAGGTCCATAGATACTTCATAAAAGAGGTTTTCTATCAGTCCACTCACTCACTCAATTCAAAGATGAAGAATTTTCGTATAATTATGGGCTACAGTTAAATATTAAATAACACATTTTGTAGAAAAATATCCAAAGCACAAGACAAACTGTTTAATTTTAATATTACATTCAGGCTGAAAGATATCACCCTTTCGGTTTATTGCAAAAAGTCATTAAGTAAATTACTAGGTAATTTGATGAATTTTTATTCTGTGAAGTCAAAACAGTGGGCTTACTATTTTTGACATATAATAGAGTTAGTGTGGTTTTTACACACATACTGAATTTTCGCACCTATAAATATGATTGAAGTTCACCACCAGTAAGTAATTTAAAGTTTAGCTTCATGAAAAGTTTACATAGTGACTTTTTCGCATAAACTGATTGATGATATATTAATTACATGCCATAAAGTTTCTAGATTACCAATATAAATAAATTATAGATGTAAATATTAAGATAAATGAGTGGCATACATTTTATTTCATTAATTCATGAAGCATTCATTGAAATACAGGCAAGTTTTGGTTTTAGAATTTATTATAAATAAGAGGGCAATCCGAATTTTCTTTTGCTTAAATCTACAGAATATATTTTTTTAAATTAAAAAGATCCTTAGCAGACAGATTCATCTAGATTATACCCATTATGTTTATTTATAACAAAAAAAAGGTGGAATATATTGTAAATAAACACATTTTTAATTAATTAATATAAATTAATTATATGGAATAATTCAGGCTGTATCACATTTTAGCCTTCTCAATAAGGCAGTGTTATTTCGATTTGGAAATATTACTTTGAGTGAACTCACACAAATATTCTTTTGTTTGCAAATGGAATATTTTTAATCATTAAACTATTTTAAAAGAAGAAAATATAAATACCTTTCCAGGATCAGCTGCTTCATATTGATGACGCAGAGATTGCAGTTCAAATTCACAATTAGACATGGCTATTTTCAGCTCATGAAGTAACAAAAGATCACTTCTTAATTCATTGAAGTGTTGGCAAATTTCTTCAGTTGGAACCGGATTATTATCTATAAAACAAAATTAAAAAAAGAAAAACTAATAATTAACATTATTTATCTTCCAGCTAAGTCAGTCATACAAGTAAAAATGTCATTATTGCACTTTTATTAAAATAAGCAAATGGTGCTTGCCCAGATTAGAAACTTCTTTGTTACATTACAATGTTAATAGTTAATTCCCACATACAATATAATTAGTACAATATTAAGGCCCAGAGTAACCCAAAGTGGTTCACAAGTGATGAGAATTCTTAAATCATTGCCAACAACAATAATTAAATCATTAACTAATGGAATGATAATAAAACAAATTAATATAAAATTAATAAATAAGAGTTAAATAATCTTGTGCAAGATTTTCAGTAGTCAAATATAAAAATATATTCTATCAAACAATATATATAAAAAAAGTACAATAAAAATATTCCTTTACCAATATTGAACTCATTCAACAATTGTTCAATAGCTTTAGTTTTCTTTTGGCCTATGTTAGCAGGTAATTTCATTCGCTGGGATCTTAAAGTTACACCACTACCTTTCATGTCAGGGAACTTGATACCAGAAAGCTCTCCAGACTAGAAAATAAAAATTTTATATAAAAAGTTTTGCTTGTAATGTACTATTTTTAAAAATGATGTAGAGATGGTTGACCGTTGATATAATATGAGAAGGAGTTAGTCGAGGGTGCGGTCAAATAAATAAAACATTAAAATATATTAATTATTTTAATTTTTGCCTACTAAAATTAAAATAAAATTAAAATAATCAATATATCTTAATTTTTTATTTATTTGACCGCACCCTCGACTAACTCCTTCTCATATTTTTAAAAATATTATGATTTCTGGAATAACTGAATATATGCCACAATAAAAATATATAAATTAAACTAATAATAATTTTAAAATAAATATAAAGCATTAATTATAAATAGACATATAAATATGATAGAAGTATGATGTGAAGTAGCACAGATGATAAAGTAGCTCAGTCTACGCCATCAATTTCAATGCTTCAAGGCTGCTGCCTATGATTTTGTGGACAAAAACTGTCTGGAAAATCATGACCGAACTGGGAGTTCTCAATAAATTGGTGAGATTGTATTTTAAAAGTTATTTGTCTATATGTCTGTATAGTTATAAGAATTTTTTTTTTGTTTTACTTATTATACATACTTGAAAATATCTTTTAAAAAATATAACTGAATACATAACACATTTGTTTAGATTAAATATAGGGAGGAGAAACTTCCTAGAACTTTTTCGGCTAAAAATTATTGATGTGAAAAAGTAAAAAATATTTTTGATTTTTTAGTGTGTACAATCTCAAATAAGAATACGATTTTCCACAGTCCAACTAGTTCCGTGAATATCACGGAAAATGTGAATATCACATGAAAATAATTCAAGCAAACAGCTAGCTTCTTTATTCTACAAGATATTTGGATTGGAAACGTTTAATTGGTCATTAATAAATACGGATTAACTTCAATAATAGAAATCTCAATAAAAAACTCTGTTTGATTATCACTATAGATGATAAATATTTGAAAATCATATTTATTGTAATACATAAAAATTGTATTTATTAATTTATGTTTATGATAATACATCCCAGGTATAGGGAAAAAATAAATTAAAGCTTTGCAATAATTTATTGTAATCATTTTTGTTAAAAACACGGGTACTTTGAGGTGAATCTCAACTTATTTCGTAATAAACCTACAACTTAATTAATATGAACATAAAGCTTAGTAAACAAGAAAGTTTTTTAAAAGAAGGATGTCTATAGTACTTTCTAACTCTACTTTCGTTTGAAGCAAATTTTATCTAGTTTACAGGGAAGTAATTGTTAATTAATTAAATTAACTATTGTTTTATTTATCGCTTCTCTATTCATCAAAAACCATGACTTACTTAAAAAAACATAAAATTTAAATTGCCTACTATTTTTCTGAAATATTGTTTATATGAAGTTTTTGGATAGCTCTAGAGGCCTACTATTACCTGTTTAAATATTTCCCTCTACTTAAAGGAAACCATGTGTATTATTATCTTTGAATATAAATAACAATTTAAATAAAAGAAATATTTAGGTATCAATAAAATTGTTACATACCAACTACTATGCCCTAGCCTAGCTAGATTTTCCTAATCGATTTTAGTTTACACATTTTTTCATTCATCTGGCTTATTTATTATTTATTTTAATTTTTTTTTGCCTCAAATTATTGGGATGGGGACGAAACGATATTATCTCAACATGATCTCCCCCTCAACATTATTATTGGGAGGGGAGGGGGTGATCGCCCCCCTCCAAGTCTGTGCCTATGAGAATTATCTGAATTCTTTACCCAATAACAGTATCTACCTAGAAGGTAAATTATTCCCAAAGGTAGACAAATTCAAATACCTCAGATCCACAATAACTTCACTGTATGACCAACAGTCTGAAATAGACCAGTGTATAACAAACAGAGCTTTCATCTCCCTTTTTAAGGAATTAAAATCTCAAATCAAGGATGCACAATGTTATGATAAAGCCAGTTCTAATATATGGCTATGAGATTTGGACACTAACCAAGGCCCATGAAAAAAAAAAATTGAAAGATTTGAGAGACAAATCCTTCACACAATAACCGGAGCGATCTGGGAACACAATACTAACACATGGAGAAGAAAGACCAATAAAAATTTCCTTACAGAAAGTGATTGATCAATATCTCATGATATGAAGGCACAGAAGTTAAGATGGGCGAGGCATGTGGCTCAGAGCAATCCACCTGGAAGGCCAAAAAACAGATGGATAGATTGAATCAACAAAGATGCTATAGAGCTGCACGCTGATAATTGGAAAAACAAATAGGCAGAGATGGAGTAGGTTAAGACAGCAAAAGATCTACAAGTTTTATAATACCAACAGAAAAAAAAAATTATAAATATATATATGATAGAAGTACCAAATTATCCACTTTTGGCCTGGTCTGAGGAGGCAATTTTTTCCTAGTAAATTTTCTTTCAGTTTTTTTCGGTTCTGATTGGCTGTCAGCAGCAGATATCAGTTTTTGAAGATCCTGTGTTTTTCTGTCTCTTTCTTTTTTCCTCGCTTCTATTTTCCGTAATTCATTCTGGAGCATCATTTCTTCTTCAACCTATAAAATTAAGTTTCAAACATTAATACATAGATGAGATTATACATCCTCACACTTGTGTGTACTATTGAGCTATGAGCTAACATAATTTATAAATTTTATAAGTTTATATAAAATGTATAAGTTAAAATTATAAGTTTAGTTATTAAAATATTTCATATATAATTATATATATATATATATATATATATATATATATAAACTAAACTATTGCCAATTTAAAGTTTTAGAATTTTAAACTCTAACAAAAACCTAGATTGTAGACTAATTTCTGATACCAAAAGAGGAACCAAAAAGAACATGGGTTGTTAGAATCAAGAGAGGAGCTGAACTGGGGACAGACCATATGCTGCTGAAAATGGAAATTGTTCTGGAAAACACATATATAGCATTTCCAAGTCAATTTCAACCTTTTCCAAGTCAAATTCAACCTTTTCCAAATCAAATTAAACTTTTTCCAAGTCAAATTCAACCTTTTCCATTTCAAATTAAACCTTTTCCATTTCAAATTCAACCTTTTTTTATTTATTTAATTATCTTTAATTTTTCGATGCGTGGGTCTGTTATCGTATGAGTAGTTTTTTAAAATAACCTCCTTTTTAAGATTACGTGACTGCGTTTCGAATTATTTAAGTTTTTTTTTTACTTATTCGATATAAGGGTGTATTTTTATGTTTCCCGATCAGTAAATTTTTAAAATGACATCTATTTTATGTTTACGCCACTGTGTTTTGATTTATTTAAGTTTTTATGACTTATTCGATATAAGGGTGTACTTTTTATGTTTCCGGATCAGTAAATTTTGAAAATGACATCTATTTTAAGATTACGCCACTGCGTTTTGACTTATTTAAGTATTTCAGAATTTATTCATATAAGGGTCTACTTTTATGTTTCCGGAGCCGTAGATTTTGAAAACGACCTCCATTTTAAGATTAGGCCACCGCGTTTCGACTTATTTGAGTTTTTCGGATATTTTTCATATGAGGGTGTATTTTTATGTTTCCGGAGCCGTAGATTTTGAAAATGACCTCCATTTTAAGATTAGGCCACCGCGTTTCGACTTATTTGAGTTTTTCGGATATTTTTCATATGAGGGTGTATTTTTATGTATCCGGAGCTGTAGATTTTGAAAATGACCTCCATTTTAAGATTAGGCCACCGCGTTTCGACTTATTTGAGTTTTTCGGATATTTTTCATATGAGGGTGTATTTTTATGTTTCCGGAGCTGTAGATTTTGAAAATGACCTCTATTTTAAGATTAGGCCACCGCGTTTCGACTTATTTGAGTTTTTCGAATATTTTTCATATGAGGGTGTATTTTTATGTTTCCGGAGCTGTAGATTTTGAAAATGACCTCCATTTTAAGATTAGGCCACCGCGTTTCGACTTAGTTGAGTTTTTCGGATATTTTTCATATGAGGGTGTATTTTTATGTTTCCGGAGCTGTAGATTTAGAAAATGACCTCCATTTTATGATTACGCCACTGCGTTTTGACTTATTTAAGTTTTTCGAATTTATCCAATATTAAGGTCTACTTTTATGTTTCTTGAGCCGTAGATTTTGAAAATGACATCCATTTAATGATGACGCCATTGCATTTTGACTTATTTAAGTTTTTCGAATTTATCCAATTTAAAGGTCTACTTTTATGTTTTCGGAACCGTAGATTCTGAAAATGACCTCTATTTCATGATTACGCAACTGCGTTTCAACTTATTTAAATTTTTAGAATTTAACAAGTATAAAGGTCTAATTTTATGTTTCTGGAGCAGTAGATTTCCCCTATTTTGTAAATGACCCAATTTAAAGTTTATGCCACTGTTTTGGATTATAAAAGTTTTTTTTTTTTACTTTTTCGGTATAAGGATCTACTTATATGTTATCCGAGACGTATTGAAATTTTTCTAATCTTTAATATTTAAATTTATCTAATATTTAAGCTCCATTTTATGATTAAGCCGCTGCATCTTGATTAATTAGGCTTCATTTTGGATTTTTTCAATACAAAGTTTCATCAATATGTTTTCGAGTATGAATAAATAAATAAATATTATGAAGCTAAAGTAAAATTAACCACAGAATACAAACTAAAAAGCCGAAGAGCAACTGGTAATAAATTTAACCTTCCGTATTCAGATTTTCCAGCTAATTGTTCGAAATCTTATAATTATGTGATAGGAGACCACAACATTAAAAAAGATAACTAAAATTAAATTAAAAATGAGACAATACATATTTTATTTATTTTGATTAGATATTTTTATTTATTTATTGAAAAATAAATTAATCCTTCGTATTATGTTTTTTATTCGAAGGAAAAAGCAAAAACACTTAACAAAACCGAAACACAGTGGCCTAATCTTAAAATGTAAGTCGTTTTAAAAACTAAGGCTCCGGCATCATAAAAGTAGACCTTTAAATTGGATAAATTCGAAAAACTTGAATAAGCCGAAACGCAGTGGCGTAATCTTAAAATGGAGGTCATTTTCAAAATCTACGACTCCGGAAACATAAGAATACACTCTTTTATGATAAAAATTCGAAACACTTAAAGAAATCGAAATGCGGTGGCCTAATCTTAAAATGGAGGTCGTTTTCAAAATCTACGGCTCCGGAAACATAAGAATACATCCTCATATGAAAAAAATCCGAAAAACTCAAAGAAATTGAAATGCGGTGGCCTAATCTTAAAATGGAGGTCGTTTTCAAAATCTACGGCTCCGGAAACATAAGAATACATCCTCATATGAAAAAAATCCGAAAAACTCAAAGAAATCGAAACGCGGTGGCCTAATCTTAAAATGGAGGTCGTTTTCAAAATCTACGGCTCCGGAAACATAAGAATACATCCTCATATGAAAAAAATCCGAAAAACTCAAAGAAATTGAAATGCGGTGGCCTAATCTTAAAATGGAGGTCGTTTTCAAAATCTACGGCTCCGGAAACATAAGAATACATCCTCATATGAAAAAAATCCGAAAAACTCAAATAAGTCGAAACGCGGTGGCCTAATCTTAAAATGGAGGTCGTTTTCAAAATCTACGGCTCCGGAAACATAAGAATACATCCTCATATGAAAAAAATCCGAAAAACTCAAAGAAATTGAAATGCGGTGGCCTAATCTTAAAATGGAGGTCGTTTTCAAAATCTACGGCTCCGGAAACATAAGAATACATCCTCATATGAAAAAAATCCGAAAAACTCAAATAAGTCGAAACGCGGTGGCCTAATCTTAAAATGGAGGTCATTTTCAAAATCTACAGGTCCGGAAACATAAAAATACACCCTCATATGAAAAAAATCCGAAAAACTCAAAGAAATCGAAACGCGGTGGCCTAATCTTAAAATGGAGGTCTTTTTCAAAATCTACAGGTCCGGAAACATAAAAATACACCCTCATATGAAAAAAATCCGAAAAACTCAAATAAGTCGAAACGCGGTGGCCTAATCTTAAAATGGAGGTCATTTTCAAAATCTACAGGCTCCGGAAACATAAGAAATACATCCTCATATGAAAAAAATCCGAAAAACTCAAATAAGTCGAAACGCGGTGGCCTAATCTTAAAATGGAGGTCATTTTCAAAATCTACAGCTCCGGAAACATAAAAATACACCCTCATATGAAAAATATCCGAAAAACTCAAATAAGTCGAAACGCGGTGGCCTAATCTTAAAAGGAAGGTCGTTTTCAAAATCTAAGGCTCCGGAAACATAAAAGTAGACCTTTATATTGGATAAATTCTAAAAACTTAAATAAGTCAAAACACAGTGGCGTAAACATAAAATGGATGTCATTTTCAAAATTTACTGATCGGAAAACATAAAAATACACCCACATATCGAATTTGTCAAAAAACTTAAATGATTCGAAACGCAGTCACGTAATCTTAAAATGGAGGTTATTTTCAAAACTAGGTACAGGACAGCATAATACTAGTCCCTAAGAAATCCGAATAGGTACAATAAATCGATATCCGTAAGTGAAAATTCTACTTAGGAGAGCATAATAATAGACTTTCATATTGGAGGGGGGAGGGGATGGCCATTATTTAAAAAAAAAATATAAAATTTACAAAAACTTAAAACATTAATTTGAAATGAAAACGGTTGAATTTGAATTGGAAAAGGTTTAATTTGAAATGGAAATGGTTGAATTGACTTGGAAAAAGTTTAATTTGATTTGGAAAAGGTTGAATTTGACTTGGAAAAGGTTGATTTTGACTTGGAAATAATTGAATATCACATAGAAATATCACACTGAAAAAATCTAAAATGTTAAAATAAATGGATATGCAACTGCGTAATCAATTTTTTTTTTGTATTTTTTAAAAGCTATGCCGTCGATAATATAGTAAGTGGCCTTCATTTCGAAAAAAATCGAAAATTGACAAAAATTCTAAAGTTGAATTTGAAATGGAAAAGGTTGAATTTGACTTGGAAAAGGTTGAATTTGAAATGGAAAAGGTTTAATTTGACTTGGAAAAGGTTGAATTTGATTTGGAAAAGGTTGAAATTGACTTGGAAATGCTATATAAAGAGGAAAAAATCAGGCCCTACTAAAATATGTAAGATAAACAGCTACAAGCTTAAGTCCAAAGAATTAGCTGAAGCATATAAACCACTGTAAAAAAAGTAATTCACAATCAATACCTTTGGAACTCCGAAGACATAGAGAAAAGATGGAAAGCAATAAAACAGATATTGCTGGATGTTGCAGAGGAGGTATGCGGGAAAACTAAAGTAGGCCAGAGACTAAAAAGAACAGCCTGGTGGAATGAAGATGTAAAACTCGAAATAAAATAGAAGAAGGAGCTTTGGAAATGCTAACTACAAACAAAAAGCCCCGATGACTACACAAAATATAAATAAAAGAGGAAAATCAAAAGAAAAAAGAAAATCCATGCAATTGAAAAGGAAATTATCAAAGGAGTTGGGAAAAAAGTTGGAATAGGATGCCCATGGAAATCAGAAGCTCTTCTATAAATGCCTTCGAAACATGTGTAAAGAGAACGAGCCTTTCATAAAACATATAAAAGAGAAGGAAGGCAATATTCTCATTAATAGCAAGAAAATAATGAATAGATGGGATGAACAATTCGAAGAAGTACTTTGTGATAATACACAGAAATAAATCTGACAGAACAAAATACCCACAGTAATGAAATCTCTGCTGCGGAAGAGGATGACTTCATAAGAGAAGAGGAAATAGCAGATGCTATAGCTACCCTTAAAATAGGCAAATCAGCAGGCATTAGAACATGGGACCAAAAGGCCATGCAATATTTCAACACTTCCTAAACTTAGTGTGGAAAAAAAAAAGGTTCCCAAGAATTGGGAAATATCAGTTATAATCCAAATATACAAGAAGGGAGACTGCAGAAACTACCGAGGTATCTCATTACTCAGTGTATCTTGCAAGATATATTCTAAAATCCTGGAAAAGCTGCTTAGAGGAGTCATCGAGAGCACCCTAGAATGGGAACAATATGGATTCAGACCACAAAGAAGCACACAAGATCTAATATTAACAATGAGACAACTCTCCGAAAAGGTCATGGAAAATAATAAAGAAGTTTATACATGCATTGTGGACCTGATGCAAGTGTTTGATAGGGTTAAGAATACAGATATAACCAAAGCTATGGAAAAGCAGAATGTCGAAACAGGTCTGGCGAGGGTTATATAAGTTATATAACTTAGTTTATATAAAAAGCAAAGAAATATGGTGAGAACCAACAACCACTCATCCAAGAAGTTCAAGAGCATGCAAGGAAAAGGCAGGGCTGTAGTCTTAGCCCATTACTGTTTATAATGGTCTTTAACATAGCCTTAAAAAGAGAAAAGAGAGGAAATGAAAAATAATTTTATTCTGGGACTGAAGTATCCTTAGAAAAATAGTAGAGTTTAAAAAATATGTATATTAGTTTGGCATGTAAGTATCATACAAATATATACAAAAAATACCTAGGAAATTGTAAGCACACAATGATACTAAGGAAAACACAAATATACAAGAAAAAAATACAAAGGAAAATATAAATATTTACAAAACATACTAACGATAAACACAGATATATACAATAAAATACTGAGATATAAAAAAAATAATAAATAAAAATAAAATGACTTCTATCAATTAACTGCTGGTGAGCAACATATTTATATAACCCAGAAATTTTTACAAGCTTGCGGAAGTTTGAATTTGTAGTAGGTGGTGGAATAGGAGTTGTTTGAAGTAGTTTATGGACGTGGTTTGACGTATGGGGAGGTAGCACGAATGAAAAAGGATTTACTGAAGGAAGTGGTTTTATGGGAGGGGATATATAAATCTATAGGTTGAGATCTGGTATTGAGAGAGTGGATAGAGGAGCGTAAAGTAAGGAGTTCTAAGATGTAGGGAGGGTTTTTGCTTCTGAGAACTTGAAAAAGAAAAACACCAAGAAGGAATTGCCGTCGGGAAGTAGGATATAGCCACTTCAACTCGGTGTACCAACAAGAAATATGAGAACGCTTGGGAACCCCAAATATGAATCTTATGAAGCAATTCATAATTTTCTTCAGTCTCGCCTCCAGTTCTGTGGACAGCCCTCCGTACACCAGGCAACCGTAGTCGAAGTGGGGGAAGACAAGGGATGTTACAAGAAGCTGTCTGGTTTTTTATGGAATGGAATCACGGAATCGGAGGAATTGTTTAAGTATAGTTATGTATTTATGGGTAATCTGGGAAATGTGATTGTTCCAAGAGAGGTTCTGATCAAAGATCAATCCAAGGTTTTTGACTGTCTGAAAGAAATGGATGGGATGGTTATTTAGGTAAAGTAAAGGAAAGAAAGAAAGGGAACGAAAGCGAGGCTTGGAGCCGATTAGGATTGCCTTGGTTTTGTCTGTGTTCAGCTTTAGTTTATTTTTTTCCGCACACCTATGGACACAGTCAATATCCTCTTGTAGTTATCGGATAGCCTCGGGCGTCTCAGATGGTTGGAACGATAAGTAAATTTGAAGATTGTCTGCATATAAGTGACAATGGGAATGACTAATGGAATCAGGAAGGTCGCTAATATAAATGGAGAACAGAGTTGGAGAGAGTGAGGATCCCTGAGGAACACCTTGTGTTAATTGAAGAGAGGAGGAATAATAACTGTCTGGGAGGAATGGGATAAAAAGGAGAGGAACCATTTTAGAACGCTATTCGATATGGGTAGACTTTGGAGTTTGGAAATGAGGATATGATGATTGACGGAGTCGAAGGCTTTTGAAAAGTCAAAAAGGACTAGGATGGAGATTTTCTGTTTGTCTATGGATGATTGGAGGTCTTGGGTAATCTTTAATAAGGCAGATTGGGTGAAGTATTGGGAAGGAAAACCAGATTGTAGAGGATTGAGGAGACAGTTTTGCTCTAGAAAGTTGTTCAACTGAGAGTGAACTAATCTTTCAAGGGGCTTGGATAAATTGGATAAAATGGAAATGGGTCTGAATTCAGATGCTAGTGAAGGAGCTGGGACTTTGTTCAACGGCCGGACAATGACTTTTTTCCAGGCTTTTGGAAAAATGGAATTTTGGAGGGGAAAATTGTAGATGTGTAGGAGTATAGGAAGTAAGTTTGGTAGGCAGAGTTTAATGATTTTCATAGGAATTTGGTCAGGACCATAGTCGTTGATTTTGGATTTAAGGATAGTAGAGAGTAGGTCAATTGGAGAAATATCAAGAAAAAAAAAACTTATCTGGGTCAAAGGAGGTTTCAGTGATGGGATAAGGTACGGGGTCAGATGTGAATACAGAAGGAGGATGGTTTGTAAAAAAGGTATTTAGTTCGGATCTACTGGATAAAGTGTGCAGGTTTTGAAGCTTATGACAGAGAGTTTGCTGAGAATTGTCCATTTGGATTTGGGATTAGGTGCTTGGGATAGTACATTGTTAAAGTATTGAGCTTTGGCCCAGTGTAAGAATATTTGTGTACTATTATATAGGGATTTGAATATAGTAGTGTTGGGATAGTCGTGTACGTATGTATCGTCTTCTGGCAGCCTCTCTTCCTCTTATCATCTCTCTGATTTCTGAATTTATCCAAGGAGCAGGAGGACATCTAAAAGTACGGGTTTTAAGGAGAGCATGATGGTTAAGGAAATCAAGGTTAGAGAATAGGTGTTCCTCCATGTCATCGATGGAAGAAAGGGAGTAGATGGATTCTAAGGAATCGAGATAAGGTCTGAGGAATAACGGCGTTTTGGGCTGGGCTGGGCCACAAAGAATTAACTCCAGTTTATCTCACACTCCTAGCCTATGCTGATGACATAGTCGTATTCGGAAATAACGGATGAAATCTACAATTCAACCACAGAAACCTACAGAATTACAATTGTTAAACATGAAAATTAACACTAGCAAAACCGAAGTAATGAGGGTAGGTGTTGGAACAGATCAGAGACTTCAGATACTGGAGAACTCACCTCAATGAAAAAGGTTTCCATTCACTCAAATGTGGTTTCCAAGGAAAAAAAGAAATCTCTAAAAAGGTCAAAAAAGTAGTGTACAAGACAACATTTTTACTCCCTACTGATCTACGCCAGTGAATCCTAGACATCAAGACATAGGAGCCAAATACAAGCAATGGAGATTAAGTACCTGAGGAGTATAGAAGGAAAGACAAGAAGGGATATGGTCAAAAATAGGACAATTAAACATAATTTGAAAATAAAATCAGTCGTACAAACGATTGAAGAGAATCAGCTACGGTGGTTAGGACATGTTAAAAGGATGTAGGGGGAAAGAATTGCCAAAATTATGTATGAAGTGAGAGTTAAGGAAAGAAGGCTAAGGGGAAGGCGCAGAAACACTTAGGAAGGAGAAGTCCAGAAGGCACTTAGCAGGAGAGGAGTGGACTGGAGCAGGCGCCCACAACCAGCTGGTGCAGGATCAGGACTCTTAGAAAAGGCTCTATAAGGAACTCCTCACACTGTTCTGCGGTATAACAGGGCAAGATTAAGAAGAAGAATTTTAAACTCAGGGATCTTATCTACTCGATAAATATGTAATTGTTCAATGTTTTAAGTTACCTGTTCCTTAGTTCGGCTATAAAGCCTTTCAAGCTGTTCTTTTCTCCTCCTTTCATGTTCGGCATCAAAGTGGTAATTTTTGGCTTCTGGAGGAAACCCTGGTCCAGTTTTGAGCTAAACAAAATAAAAAAAAATCAATAGATCACAATGGCTTTGAATGTTAATGTATCATGGAATAGATTAAATAATAATGGTATCCAATACAAGCAGATTAAATCATAATTTTTACTTAAAATGGTGATAAAAGTGATATTTGATACAGTATATTAATTTACAATATTTATAGCTGGAGATCAGTAAAAAAAATAATAATTCGAAATATTAACTTATAGTGTTATAATACAAAATTAAAATATATAACAAATCAAATATTACAAAATATTAATATTTTCAGGATTGTTTTATATACTATGCAATGCTGTAATTACAATGTAATTAAATATAACATAGATATTAAAATCACCTTGGAGAGAGTAGTGACAATAGAATAATATCTTTCCTTCAAATCTTCAATTGATCTTGGATCAAACTTTGAACGGTCCCATCTGTCAGCCATAACAACAAACCTCAAATCAAATCGACGGGCTAAGTCAAAGAGATGATCGGTTTCTGCATTGGTCCAATTATCATGTTGGAGATGAAGATTGTATTCAGCATCTGTATAGACTGGAATTTGGACTTTCTACAAAAAAAAGTTTAAAAACTTATACAAATATTTATATTCCTTTTTATGTATGTAACATAGTGCTAAGTAAGTATAATTTTACATTAAATGACTAGAAGTATGAAAAGGAAAAAAAAAATCTTACAAAGAACAGCAGTAATCTTCAAATGTATATATCTAATTGTTTTCCTCTCGACAACTAAACATCATTAGTACAAAACAGTTGAAAACAAAATTTGTGACAGATTCCAGTGGAAATGGGTGCAGTAAAAAATAAAGATAAGATGTGAAAAAAAAAACAATATAAATTTTTAAAAAGAAATTATTGATTTTTCCATCCAAGAACCTTTATAAACTGATGATTTCAGATCCTGTTGAGCCTATTCTACTCTAATTCAGATGGAAAGTAATACAAATGTTGCTGTGGTCTGCTCAAGAGAATTGAGTCCATTATGATCCTCAGTACACACATTTTATTGTTTAACGGCACAACTTCCCTACTAAGTTCTTTCAGTTTAATATATCATTATAATTCTTAAATAAACTGACTTGTGACCATTACATAGAAAGTATCCACAATAATTCTAAATTTTAGAATTAAATAAAACAGCTTTAAAATTATTAAACAATCAATCACTAGAAGTTTAGAACAACCATTTAGTGTTAATTTCAAAGATCTATATTCAAAGACTATATCAGTCAAAGAATATAATATAAACATGGCATTAATTAAAGTATCTTCTTATATACCGATTTCAAATGATCATCAAATAAACAGGAAATACATTTTAAATGTTCAATAAAAATAAAATATAACATTTTCAATGAATAAATCAATATATATATAACCCAAGCATTTTAATAATTTAAAACAGTATTTAAAGTCCTCCGTACAATAGTCAATGCTCCCTTCTATGTAACCAATAAAACCCTACATCATGACCTTAATATCCCATTTATTCTTGATCTTATCCCAGCCAAATTTTCCAAATTTCACCAGAACCTTTCTCATCACCCAAATCCCGTTGTACAATCCCTATCAAGCACCACCCATCCCTACAATCCCCTTCGTAGGTTAAAGCGGCAGTGGCCACGAGACCTTTTGTAAATATGGATATTTTGGAGTTCTAGCAATGGCCAGATTCTCCACTCAAGTCATGAGTGTCTGTGGCTGTAGCGCTCTTACTCATCCTCCGCTGGTTTAAAATACCAGTGAAGTGGCTGAGGGAGAAGCGTAGGGATCTCCTAAGCCTCCCTTTCCCCTCCACATGTGGAGGGGAAGGGATTGGTTCGGAGATCACCTGGCAAATTGTAAATAATGTATGTTTTATATAAGGTGTTTGTTTTACTTTTATTTCTATTTTTATTTACTTATGTGTATATATATTATTTTTTTTTCTTTACTCTTTTGTTCTTTCTTCTTATTCTTTTGTTATTACTTTATTTATTTATATTTTTGTATATACGGTATGAATGCAATCTCTGAACTCTATTATAAGTGTCCTTAACTGTGACAAATTGTAATATTTCTGAATAAAGTGTTTTTTAATAATAAAAAAAAACAGTATTGTTTCACTACTGCATTAAGAACCATTTTTTCCAGCAGTATCCAGAACAACTTGTTTTTTCAACATTTAAAGTCTGCCTTTTGAGGCAACTGTTTTATTTTTTCGTCCAGCATATCACAAATGCACTTAAATAGCTCTTTATTTTCCATTTAACTGATCTAATTTCTTCGCGCGATGAAATACTTCACTATCTTTTCACAGGTGTGATATATTTATCTATTTTGTTTTCTAGTGACATTCAGAAAAAATATAAATAAAGATTAGAGGTTGAGACTAAATCACCGGGCACTAATGAAAAGTACAAACACAACTTTCAACTTATTTTCAAAAACTAAGATCACGAAACAAAAATTTCAGCACTGGAGCATCTGAACTCTATGGCGGCTGCCAGCCAACTCCGAAAAATGGTTTTTAAAGAAAAAGTAGTGACATTAGAGAAACAGAACAGAGAAATGTAAGACACAATAGAGTGGCTGATAAAGAAAAAAAAAATTTTTTAGCGGAATTCCAACAGGATCAGAAGCAGAATTGGTTGAGAGAGTCCAGGAACTTCATAAATATTATTTACAACTGATAGATGTGCAACTGTACTGAAGCTTCGGTCTGAATTCTGGAAGGATTAACTGGATCTTGCAAAACAACAATAGGCCTGAGGCAGGGATGTGTTTTGTCGCTGTTAACGTTTGTATTATTTATAAATCACCTTCCAGAGTTCCTAGGTGGGGATATTATTGTATGTGGTGTTAAAATCAATTGCTTGCTTCATGTGGATGATGTTGTCTTAATTGCTGATGATTCATACACATTATGATGAATAGGTTAGAAAAGTATGTGACTGAATATGATGTTTTAGCAAAAACCTAGTTTACTTTGTAACTATATCAATAGCATAAATTAATCATGACTCTATTTTAAAAACAGAAAGGCAATTGTAACACAGAGATTACCAACATTCATTATCTTGATATTAGCATGAAAAAGTTTTTGATTAAAGATAAAAAGGAGAACCGGTGGTACTAATGTATCTTCAACACTCTTAAAAGAATGCCTAACTACTTTGTTTGGTAATATCTGATCAATCAAAATAGTATATATCTTGTTACAATCAATATAGACTTGGTGCCAGGGTATTTTAAGACATTTTCAACTTAACAGATGATACTAATCCTTGTGAGTATGGCAATAATGTTTATCTATCAACATAGTCCAGTTCGACTTAAATTTCGAGCAGCGTTCGCCACCATGACTCGAAATCCAACTTCTGGGGAGTGATATTTCAGAGTAATTTCAAGCAAATTTTCGTTTTTACCACACAAAACTAGATTGTCTGAACAGAATACCATCTGACAATTCAAAACGGTCTATCATGACCAGCAGATGCCTTCTAAAACACGATTCAGTCAATCACAACATTATGGTACCAATAAACATTCAAATAGCTTTAGAATGGCATATTTATTCTTATTTACTAAAATATCACGTAATATTATAATTATTTTTTAATTTAGTTTATAAACATTAAAATATCTAAGTTTTCTTTTATTGGCGATATGGATTTTTATGGAGTCAAATACCTCTCAAAATTTAAATCGACTGATCTGAGTTGGTAGAAAAGCATTTTCATGACAGCCAGAAGGAGTAGTACAACTTTGCTTAATATATCCTGGTGTTATTGGAGCTGGTCAAATAGAATCATATGCCACATCAAAATTGAAAGAAAGCTTAAGAATAACATCATTGTACCCTATCCTTATTGTTATATTTTAATTTTTTCTCTAAAATTTACAATAAGAAAAATATGTGATCAATAGTTCAACAATTTCATCTTAAATTACACTGATACTCACTAATATTTTCCTCAATATATTCAATAGTTAAAATAACAAAAATTTCCTAATAACCGTTACAATCCGTTTTCACAAATTAGAATCAGAATCATTTCACTGGGAATATTGTTGGTTGATTCCGTTGCTTTATATGGTTTTAATTCTTTAATATTTATTTTTAAATCCTCCTAACAGCATTCTTCTATGAATGGTTCAGCACTCTCAGTTTAAGAAGTAGAGGATTCACTATTATTTCCCTTAATCAAAATAACTTGTTCAATATCTCTGGTAGGTTGTATTGTTATTTTTATCCCTTAATTCCAGGCTTTATAGGCTCAAAAAGTTTACACCATTGTTAATGGCCTTGTACATGTCTCTTACATTATTCAATAGTTCATAATAGTATGAATCAATCAAAAGAAGTAAATATTTTAAAAATAAGAAAATTTATAAGAGAAAAAATAATTTTTACAAGAAAAATTGGATAAGAATAATAACTACTATGAGGAAATTGTTTACCTTATTGAAGCGGGCAAAAGGATATTCTTTTGCTTCATCACAAACTCTCCTCCAATGATGAAAAACAGCATTATCTGTACGAGCAGGATTGGTAAAGGGCATCCATTTCCAAGGACGTACTTTTTTCATCCCAAGGTTGGCCTTCATATTTTTGTAACCCTGTCCTAGATTCAAAAAGTTCAGAAATTTAAAATAAACATGGTAAATTAATGGGATCTATATAACATCAATCTACTAGTAGAACCCCGTGTTCATTCTAGTCAGGACTAAAATATGGCCGATTAAACAGGAGAGTTTGAATGATTTCTCATGAATTTGACAGGGTACATATCTATTATATTTGGTTAGGTAGTCTTAGCTTCACATCTAAATATCTTGAATATTAGTCCCCAACTCTCTATACTAAGCTCAAACTTTATTGTGTTCTGAGTGGAAATAGAGATATTTGGGAACTTTTTTCATAAATATAATAAAAAAATCTCTCTCTATACAATTGGTATTATTTCTGATACCAATTGTCGGCCAAGAAATATGGTGCCCAGTTGGCGTAAAAAAAAAGTTAGTGACTAAGGGAGCACACTACAAAACAGAAAAGAATAGAGAATTTTGATTACGGGAAAGATATTCTTGAAACATTCACATTGTAATAATATATGAAAATAGAGTGAATATATTTCACTAAGCAAGTTGTTTTTGCCAAGCGCACTAGAATATCATTTACTTTATATCAGGAATTGATATTAACTGACCTAGATGGGAATCGAATCTACACTTTTCTGAACAAGGCACAAGAAACACCACTTGAACTCAACAATCCAATGATAAACTTTATTATAACTCTCTCTTGTGTACTCTTTTCATGCAATAAATCCACATGTACACTTGAGGATTTCATGAGTCACTGCTGGATAACTATGTCAGATTAAGTTTCACAAAAAAAATCTTTGATTGCTTCATTGGTAGAATAAACTTAACATTAACAAATATGTGGAAAGGCAGATATATATATGATTGATAGATAAAGGAAATATTTTAAAAAATGCTAACACTGGGAAAAGGAATTAGTGGAAGAAAAGTTAGGATATGTAACATTAAGAGTTTGATTTTTTAAATATAAAAATTTTATTAACTTAAAAATATTGGTTGTATTGACTTAGTTATGTGTTTATTTGATTTTAAAAAAACATACAAAACGATACCCTGCTTGCTCAAGTGCCTGGATTGAAGTGCATGCCTAATTTTTTTAAAAAGGATGATAAGTACACTAAGTTTTTAATAAAATAAATAAAATTACTTCAAAGTAATTTTTTTTTTTTAGATTAAGATTAGTAGGCTAGTTATCTGTGAGAGAGTAAGTTGGGCACTACTTTTCTATAATAGAAAATATTAAATTTATAAAAATATCAATATTTACCAGTAACAAACACTGAGATTAAACAAGTAATTTTAGCTGTTGTGGTTTTGGTATATTGCTATATAGAAATTTATATTCTATAGCTCTACCATATATCTTTAACAACTTGATAATAATAAAACAAGACATAATGACAGTCAAATGTAACCTGATGCACAGTGGTGCAAACCACCTTTTTTTCAGAACATACTTCATCTAACTTGATGACATACAACTTCAATGCTCAAATAATGATCATTATTTATGTATTTTATTTTTTTGAATTGAACTGAACAAAAAGTAAATCAATAGCTTTACGTCTTTTTGTTCTTATGACCATATTATATTTTAAATCTTAAAAAATTCTGAATAAAAATAAATCTAATAATTCAAGTCAACATTATCGGGTAAAATTTTGAAGATTAGGAAGACTTAATTAAATACTGGCTAAATAAATGTTTAAATATTATAAATAAGAAATAAAACAAACTATGAAAATATAATAATTGCTGCCTAGCTAAAAAGATACAGATACAGAAAATATAGAGTGGATCTGTAAGTTCGTTCGGTTTTTGTAAGTAGTGTGAATTGTTTTCAAATATATCCAGTTGTTTTTACCATATCTGACAATAATGATATTTATCGGAAAGGTCAAAGTCTGCTCTTTGAAACTGTTGCCTTTGATTTCATTGGCATTAATTTTGTTTGTGCTACAGCGTAGTGAATATATCAAATGATAGGGTGTATTTTTGTCATATTTTGATTTTCCAATTAAAAAAGCCAAACGAGCTTTGAAGGCTTACCGAAATATATGTAAACTATACAGGGATGATGCCTCAACAGAACGTACTGCTCAAAATTTGTTTGCCAAGTTTTGTTCTGAAGATACGAGTCTCGAAGATGCACCCCACAGCGGTCTGCTTACCGAGGTTGATTCTCGTGATATCAAGGCTCTAATCGAACAAGATCGGTCGCTACAGATACAAGATATTTCAGAGACACTGAAGATGGATTTCAGAACCGTTAAAAGGCATTTAGAACACTTTGGCTACGTGTCCCGTCTACATCCAAAACAGATTTTACTGTCCATATGGTGGGTTTAACATGGCATGTTGTTTTACGAGTTGCTTCCATAAGCAAAAACGATTGATTCGAAGATCTACTGCACACAGCTCACGAAATTGGGCCAAACATTGTGACAGAAACTTCCAGAACTAGTCAATTTCAAAGGTGTTGTATTCCAGAATAACAACGCCAGACCACACTCTGCAATAATCACACAGCAAAAGTTAGTGCAACTTGACTGGGATGTATTATTACACCCACCGTATTCTCCGAGTCTTCCCCCATCAGACTACCACTTATTCTGGTCCCTCCAAAATTCTCTCAATGTGAAAACGTATCTCTATCAGTTTTTTGCTTCTAAACGCCAGGTATTTTCCGAGAGCAGAATAATGAAATTGTTAGAAAGATGGAACAAGGTCATTAATAAAAGCAGCGAATATATTATTGAATAAAATTTATTCTTTGTATAAAAAAAAACTTCTTTTATTTCACTCTTCAAAAACCGAACAAACTTATGGATACACCCAATATATAGATTTATAATAATTACAAAATATGGAAGTTCAAGCATTAATATTATTTTTTTTTTTCAAATCGACATTCTCGAAGAAATATTTTAAAATTTCTAATATTGTGTTTTATGATGTTATTACCAAATTATCCTCTGAAAATTTGTTTTATTTTTATTATTATTTTATTTTATAATTTATTTATCTTTATTTTTTCAAATTTATTAAATTTCCAAACATTGATGGATTGAGGACAAAGGCGATTAGGGAAAGGGTAGTAGAAGGTTTTACCTTCCCAATAATTTTAAGATCTAAATAATGTTCCACTGGAGTACGCCTAATAATGACTAATAGATCTTCTCTTTTTCATATAAATGGGATTAAAGTACTAACTTTCAAGAAAAAAGTAAATAAATAACATTATTTCAGATTAAAAGGCAATTGATTGTTATGGCTAACAATTTCTTAACATTACATAATGTACACACAGAAAAATTACTCGTACATTTAAAAAATCTGATGCGCATATCACATAACTTTCAGTTACCTATCTTAGAGTAGATAGGCATTTTCATATATAGAGAAGCCAAAGTGAAAACGACAGTAAAACTTCATTTAAAACAACTAATCTCCATGCTTTTCCTACCCATCAAATCTGTTAAATTTATACGTTTGCATCACTTGCCATTTTCTTTTATGACTGTGTATGGTACCAAACAAAACTAATGATTTTGTGAAAAAATACTGAGTCTTATAGGAAACTCGTCGAAAGAATAGCTTAACATTAGTGAATATTGTATATTATTAGGTTTATATTAGTAGATTCTTAACATTTCACATAAAAACCTTTTTAGAAAGTCATGGAGAAGTAATATATAAAAGTTAAACTAACAATATGAAAGCTCTGTACAGAGGGGTAACGGGTATCTGTGAAGGGAGAGGCAATCTTGGTTGTTTCCGAATAGTTTTCAAGCCTTATCTCTCCTATAGTTATCAATCAATTTTCTTCATTCATTAAATTTAACCAATTTATTACAACAATTTCCACAGTTGCTAAATGTGGAATGGTTAATTTTTCCAAATAAAAAAAATCTGGTGTGGTGCGAGCAGCACACAACTTTCACTTATCCACCTTAGAGTAGATAATTATTTTCATTATAGGGAGATAAAGCGAAAACGACGATATAACTTCATTAAAAACAATTAACTACCATGTTTTTCACGACCATCAAATCTGTTAAATTTATAAGTTTGCATCACTTTCCATTTCCTTTTTCCATTGAGTATAGTATGAAATAATACGAATGGGAAAAAATAGACCTTTTGGAAAAATTCTGTTTCGTCGGAAGCATTTATCAAGAAACTAGATATAAAAATTACTTAACGTTAGTAAATATAGTATATTATTTGATTTATATTAATAGATTCTCAACATCATGGATAAGCAATATATGAAAGTAAAACTAACAATATGAAAGCCCTGTACAGAGGGGTATCGGGTATCTGTAAAGGGAGAGAATGGGCAAAGGCCAGGCGCTCTCGGCTATTTCCGTATAGCTTCCAATCCTTATTATTTCTTCTTTAGTAAATTATCAAATTCTTTTATATTTCATATTTATCCATTTGTTTTACAGAATTTTACAATATTAAATGTAATTATTTAAAATAAAAAATTAAAGATACTTTAGAGGAAGAAATATTGAAAATTAGCTATTTAATCCCGGTTATAGAACAACAAAGAGAATATTATATTAAATATTATATTATATTAAATTAAACTTATATTATATTAAAAACTGCTTAATTTTATACTAATATAATGAATTTAATAAACATCGTTAGAGCTTTTTTTGGAGCAAATAGTAAACATGTGTGAAATCGATATTATTAAGTGCCACTTCCAGTTAGCCGATTTTGACAAAAAGGTTGCTGTAACACCCCAGGCCTTGAAGAGAAAGAAGGTCGTGGAAGGACTTCCTCTCTTGATGATGATGTTCTGTGGGCTTTGGTGGAAGAAAACTGGGGTTTTCTAATAACATAAATAATAACAACTTGAAAAACTGTTCGAGAACTTGTAAGGAAACTTTAACTTAGCAAATCGACCATCAATAACTTCCTCAAGGCGATCGGAAAGGTAAATAAGCTTGAAAGTTGGGTTCCACACACATTAAACAATAGCCAAAAAAACCAGCGTTATGAAGTTTGTGCTACACTTCTTTGCCGAAACAATAACGATCCTTTTCTGTCCAAAATTCTTACTTGTGATAAAGTGGATAGTTTACGATAACAGTAGACGTTCTGGACAGTGACTCGACAAAGGAGAAGCAGCAGAAAGAACATTTTTCAAAGCCCCCAACTCATCAAAAAAGGTGATTAGAAATTATTTTTTGAATTTTATCAATTCTGAAGATAGGAAATCAATTCCGAGGGAATGGAAAAGTTGCCAACATGTTGGCAGACATATATTGATAGTAGTGGAGACTATTTTGATTAAATAAAATATTTGTAAATTTTTCTTTTTAAACCAAAATCCTGCATTATTTTCTGGACAAACCAATACTTATTGGCCTACATCTAGAGATGTTAAGGAAAATAATATAGTACAAAAAGTTTGATTGAAACACTTTCATTATAAGGGTCTTTCCGGTCTCTGAACCACTGTTTGACAGTCTCAATAAAAATAATAATAAAAAACGATTTTTTGAAAACAGTTCATCTTGATTTCCTCTGATTTATGACAAATGAGCATATTTTTGTATGGTAGTCCACAATATCTTTTATTACTTAGAACATAAAAGTTGCTTTGTAAAAATTCGGTACTAGTTCACAAGAGTTCCGCACGGATTACGTGTGGTTCACAATCACTTCGATCACACTTGATGGAATCCCGAAAACAGCCGAATGTTGTCGTCTTTTATGACGTCAGCTATTGGCCCTTATCACACAATCCCTTTTCATGCATTTTTGAAAAAAGAAAACTTATTCCCTTCATGAAACTTCCTTATTAACAATTTATTAACGGATTGTATATTTACTAATTTGTTAATTAGTAATTTTTATTATAACGGTTATTACTGTGAAAGAAAAAGAAAAAAATATAAAATAATGTTTGAGTCGTTTCTTCAAGGCCTGTTAAAAAAAATGCTTTTAGAAATACCATTTTTATTGATACGCGCTTACATGTAGTGGCTGTAAACACGCATATACTGTTGTATATTATCTTTTATAACTGTGTATTAAGGATTTTTTTATCATTTGGACAATAAATAATCTGAAGTTATCAATTTTCTTTTTATTTGTTATTTGAGTTTTTCAATAGAAGTTGGAATAATTGAATTTATAATTTATTTTAGCAAGCCTTTTTTAGAATTGCGCAATCGTCTATCTAGTTGATGTAATTTTTTGAATTTCTAATAATAGGGTCCACTATTTTCTAATGGGGGGCGCTTTGTATGCATAAACTGTCTCATTTGAGATTTAGCATCAAGTTTATGTAACTTTATTGAATTATTAGATATACAGAACTACTATTTTATGGTTGTCAGAGCCTTTTATGAATATACTGTCTGATTTAAAATTGTTCGTCGATTTTTGGATTTCTTAAATATAAGAGTCCACTGTTAAGTTGTCAAGGACGCTTTTTATGAAAATAATATCAGATTAAAGATTGCACGAGGAAAGTGTACAATATTAATAAATAAAATGTATTTATCAATCGTTATATAGATAAATATTTATTCCAAAAATGTATTAAATATAAGAGTCCACTGTTAAGTTGTTAAGGACGCTTTTTATGAAAATAATGTCAGATTAAAGATTGCCCGAGAAAAGTGTACAATATTAATAAATAAAATGTATTTATCAATCATTATACAGATAAACATGTATTCCAAAAATTTCCAATCCCAACAAGGCTCGTAGATATACCAGTTAGTTAACTGTTAACTTAAAATTTAGTTTTTCGTTTTAATGGCTACTATTTTTATTGAATGAATTAGCTGTGTAATTATTGTTATTTGCAGTTATTGTTCTTGGTCCTCCGAAATGGGGAATACTGTAAATATTCATAAAAAAAAAAAAAATTTGAATAAGGAATTAACGTATCGGAGAAACAAGTGACGAAGAATATCTGATAATTCCGAGATAATGAATAATGGAAATCATCAATAAGAAAAATAATATCGTCAAATAGCATTCAGAGATGTAATAATTAAAGGTTTTTATCTATTACTCTTTCTTTTTCACAGATCTATAATATATGTACAAGTTCGATTCAGGTTTCATGATGTGTAGCCTAAATTTCGAATGTAAGTCGGCTCCTGCTATATAATTGAACATGGTTAAGGTTATAGAAGTATTTAAATGGTGGAAAAGTTAATTGTAACTGATTCAAGAGATTGATCGCCTTCGTTCGCTTTCAGATAAACCCGAGCGCATTCGGCACTCCATGAACAAGTGTGACCGAAGTGATTGTGAACCATGCGTAATTCATGCGGAACTTGTACCAAAAATTCTATGAACAGTTCACAACTTGTTTTACTGACTTTATAAAGTTATTGAGTTTTACTAATGTTTCTATTTAATATAAGTTATACAGATCTCAGAGCATCTAAACAAAACAGTGTACTTTCATAAAATGGTGAAAGTTCTCACAAGTCTAGTATGGGTACTACAAGTAGGAAAAGAAATTAACCACATCACATTAAAAATATAGACTACTTATTGATAGGGGTCCATTATCAAGAAATCCAAATCTGTATGTAAATGATGTCCTTCTTGCCTAAAAGAGCTTCAATATAAGGACCGTGGTTATACTAGCCAATACATTTATATAATAAAGTATGTTTTCTGACCTGCATCAGTGGGAAACAAGGGCGGAGCATCATTTTTGTCATTGTATAATAATGCGTAAACTTCACGGGCCATTCCTTCTGGTCGTTTAGGTGCAGATTTTGTAGCACCAAACAGTTTTTTCTTTTTATCAGCACCTACAATTGCTTCCTTGGTAACCTCAGTACCCTGCGCCCTTTCGATGTCTAAAATATCTCTCACATCCGCCATGATCTAAAAACATAACATATTCTCATTGTTTAATCATCATTTCAAAACTAAATAAGAAACACTAATAACATATTCTTAACTAGATAAACTATTTAATATTTCATAAACACATACTAAACAAATCATATAAACCGAAGCTTTTTTGTCTAAATTCAATAATATATAGAAAGATTCTTATTGACACTATGCAAGAGAATAATACAGGAGCAGAAGATGATATAATGATGGACAAATCATGTATAATTAATAAATATTATACTTGAAAAAACAAAAACAAATTAATTTAAAACAAACAATGTTATATTATACTTAATAAATACATAATTCGTAAATGATTAATAAATAAAAACAATTCGGTACTTCGACATACATATTACAAGTTTGATTATAATAATTAATCATAGGATATTTACCGAAATGTGATTAAATCACAAAATATACAATGACAGTTCACTAAACCCGGCAAAGTATAAAGGCTTGTGTAATTATGACGCTTAGATTCGTTGATGACTCATTCAAAAAAAACTTCTTTGGAGGTTTTTTTAAAAATGCCTTTAGACACTTCACAAAATATGGAACAAACAAATATATAAATGGTTATTTCAATATTATAATATTTTTGTTTCTTGTTTTTGATATTTTCCATCTGCTGTCAGTATCAAGAGAAATAAAATAAATAATGAAGAGAAGGTTGGTTGGGGGTGATCAGTCAGAAATAAAAATGGCAAAAATAAATAATAATATTTATTTTAACATTTGCCGACGTTCGCCTTGAAGTTTAGGCCAAAAGGCCTAAGAAAAGAACCAGATAACACGGTACGAGAAACATAAACAATGTAGGTAAAATAACTTAGAGTAAAATGAAGTAGATAAGTGAACATTAAAGTAAAAGAAGTAGATAAGTGAACATTGAAGTAAAATGAAGTAGGTAGAATAATGACAATAACAAGAGCTAATAAATAAATAATAATAATGGTTACAAAGAGTGGACTAATGAAGTAAACATAATCAAAATAAGGTGACATAAGTACTAAAATGGTAATCTTAGAATAAAATATAAAACAGGGAAAAGGAATAAGAAGTTATATAAGAAATAAAAATAAATAGGAAAATTGAGATACTATAAAATCTATCAAAATGTACTGACTACGTATAATAGAATAAAGAGCTAAACTAATGCAAAAAATAAATAAGCAAATAAATCAATATATACAAAGTGGAGATGGAAATATGGAAAAACAGAATGAAAGGAAGAAGGAAAAAAAAGGAGAAAACTAAGATAAGATAGAAAAACCAACCTGATGGAAGAGATTGCTTGAATGTAGTGAAGCTATGGTAGCTAGGGATGGGTCGGATTGTATGTATCAGATACTTTTATCTGATACTAAAAAAGTATCTGATACAACCAGTAGATACAACCAAAAAGTATCTGATACAAAAGTATCTGATGCTCACATGGATACAAAATGGTTGTCCAGACATGCCACATTGATATAAGAGAAATGTTTAGTTATAATTTTAGTTGTGCACAATTTTTTTAGAACTATCTATTCATTTAGTTTAATTTAATTATATATTTATTTGTAGATAAATATATTCACGCTTTTTTTTTTTTTTTATGTAATGTTAATTTCAGATATTTTTATCTGATACTGCTATCGGATATTTTTATCTGATACTAGTATCAGATACTTTTATCTGATATTTGTATCAGATATTTTTATCTGATATTTGTATCGGATATTTTTATCTGATATTTGTATCGGATATTTTTATCTGATATTTGTATCAGATATTTTTATCTGATACCCGCATCGGATACTTTTATCTGATATTTTTATTTGATATCTGTACTAGATACCCAGCGGTATGCATACTGGCGCTTGGGCTTTTTAGTTAATATGTAATAGTTCTAATGACTGTATAGTTATGTCAGGTACTAAGAAAATATTTACACAATTTTTTAAACAAAATATGCTTCATATTTGACAAAAGAATGGAATATATTAAATAAAAATATAACAAATTCATGCAGAGGAAATATTTTCCTAATACAACGTTCTTAAGAATTTTGTAACAATTAAAAAAATTCTTTATAGTTAAGTTTAACATACACACACACACACACACACACACACACACATATATATATATATATATATATATATATATATATATTTTTTTTTTTTTTTTTTTTTTCTGTTTGTATTACAGACCATGTAGATCTTTTGCCACCTTAACAAGTATGCTCAATCTCTACCTCTCTTGGGCTATTTCTTTCCATTATCTGATATTTGTATCAGATATTTTTATCTGATACTCGCATTGGATACTTTTATCTGATATTTTTATCTGATACCTGGACTAGATACCCAGCGGTATGCATACTGGCACTTGGGCTTTATCTCAATAATTGTATCAGATATTTTAATCCAACTGTAATTGATTATTGATTGGGTTTGATATTTTAATACCTTTTTGATACCTAATAAAACAAACATTAAATATGTACCTATATATATTTTATTCCTTTATTATTAAATTTGTCCTTGTAATAAATATTTTACACCATTTTTAAATATAATAGTTCTAATGAATTTATAGTTATGTCAGGTACTATGAAGATATTCACTATACGATAGCTAAGTTTAACATACTCACACACACATATATTTCTTTTATTTTCACTGATCAATCTACATCTTGGGATTTAGATTATATAGGACTTGTATAATGTTTACAATACTATTATTGTATTCTTTGAACATATTAAATTACATATGTAAATCATTTAATATGTAATATGTAAATATTTATCCACTCTTTTATTATTATTTTTTTCATTAATACAATATTATGACAACAAAAGTAATTTGTTGTTCATTTCAAATTTCAGTTAAAATTCCATAGTTCATTGTTGTTTAGTAACTATCTTGCTGTATTGGGACCTCATTGCTCATATTATGTCTTTAATATATCAGTATAGTTATGTAAATCCTTCTGTTATTACTAATATTTTAGTTTTTTTTATTGTAATATGCATTTTGGCCAGATGTTATGTTAATTTTTATGTACAATATTGTTATTCTCAAGGGACTTTGTCCCAGAATAAAGGTGATTATTCTATTCTATTCTATTCTATATATATATATATTTATTTTTTCTGTTTGTATTACAGACCATGTAGATCTTTTGCCACCTTAACAAGTATGCTCAATCTCTGCCTGTCTTGGGCTATATTTTGCCATTTATCTGCAGGCAGCTCTATTGTATCTTTGTTGATTCTATCTATCCATCTGCTTTTTGGCCTTCGACGTGGTCTTTTGCCTACTATAATAAAAATAGCCCAAGACAGGTAGAGATTGAGCATACTGGTTAAGGTGGCAAAAGATCTACATCATCTGTAATGCAAACAGAAAAAATAAATATATATATATATAGAATAGAATAGAATAGAAGAATCACCTTTATTCTGGGACAAAGTCCCTTGAGAATAACAATATTGTACATAAAAATTAACATAACATCTGGCCAAAATGCATATTACAATAAAAAAAAACTAAAAAATAAGTAATAACAGAAGGATTTGCATAACTATACTGATATTTTAAAGACATAATATGAGCAATAAGGTCCCAATACAGCAAGATAGTTATTAAAAACAATAAACTATGGAATTTTAACTGAAATTTGAAATGAACGACAAATTACTTTTGTTGTCATACCATTGTATTAATGAAAAAAAAAATAATAAAAGAGTGGATTAATATTTACTTTAAATGATTTACATATGTAATTTAATATGTTCAAAGAATACAATAATAGTATTGTAAACATTATACAAGTCCTATATAATCTAAATCCCAAGATGTAGATTGATCAGTGAAAATAAAGAATATATATGTGTGTGTGTGAGTATGTTAAACGTAGCTATTAAGAATTTTTTCAATTGTTACAAAATTCTTAAGAACGTTGTATTAGGAAAATTTTTTCTCTGCATGAATTTGTTATATTTTATTTAATATATTCCATTCTTTTGTCTAATATGAATCACATTTTGTTTTAAAAACTGTGTGAATATCTTCATAGTACCTGACATAACTATAAAGTCATTAGAACTATTATATATTAACTAATAAGTCCAAGACTAGACTAGATACCAAGCGCCAGCATGCATACCGCTGGGTATCTAGTCCAGGTATCAGATAAAAATATCAGATAAAAGTATCCGATGCGGGTATCAGATAAAAATATCTGATACAAATATCAGATAAAAATATCTGATACAAATATCAGATAAAAATATCCGATACAAATATCAGATAAAAATATCCGATACAAATATCAGATAAAAATATCTGATACAAATATCAGATAAAAGTATCTGATGCCAGTATCAGATAAAAATATCTGATGCTAGTATCAGATAAAAAGTAGTAGGAAGGTCATGACCAACTACTGACCCATTTGTATCAGATACAAAAGTATCAGATAAAAGTATCAGATACAAAAAAGTACCCGTATCAGTTGTATCTAGATACAAAAATTTTAGTATCAACCCATCCCTAATGGTAGCATGGGAGGGTGAGACGTATTGTTTGTTGTATTGTGTATTGTTGCGTCATCACTGACAGTTGACTGACAAAGTTTGAATTAAGTACCGGAAGCGTATATAATAGACGAGAGATATATTACTGATAATTATTGTGGATAATTAAATGAAAGTTTAATTGAAAATAACCTGGAGAATAAAACAGAGATAATAATAATTAAATAAATGTTAAGTAACAATGGAGAATGTTTGATATTAATATATATTTTATATACATATATATTTATATATAAAATAAATATATATATAAATATAGATATACATATTTACATAAACATATACACACCCATATATATATATATATATGTCTTAGAGTATCTCTCTATCAGTTAAGAGCTCAACTAGTGCTTCCCGTTATATTACATTATTTTTATTTTTTTTTATTTTTTTTTTTTATTGAAAAATATTACAATCTGTCTCAAGGACATTTATAATAGTGTTAACAGATCACATTCACACTCTATGTACAGTATATAAAATAAATTATACAGAAAAATAACATATATACAATAAATAAGAATAAAATAACCTAAAAATAAATAAATAAAAAGAACACATACATACCTATATACAATATTTACAATTTGGTGAGGGAACTCCAAACCAGACTTGTCTCTTCAAGTGTGGAGGGAAAAGCATGGCTCCAGGAGATCCCAGCACTTCTCTCTCAACCGCGTCACTGGGTCTAAACCCAGTGGAAATTGAGCAAGAGTGCTTAAGCCACATACACTCATGTCGTGAGTGGGGAATCTGGCCATTGCCAGAACTCCAATATTTACAAACTATAAAAGGTCGCGGGGCCACTGCCGTTTTAACCTCCTTGGAGGATTATATGGATGGGT